TTTCCTTGCTAACAATGAAAAATGCATGAACGTTCGAGCGAGCGAAACAGTCGTCGGGACACCGCGTATTGCTCACGTATAGACGAGACAGTGTGAGTCAAGCGTTTTCTTAGTGTGTGTCACACGTATTTTAGGACGGCATTTCTGTCAGACGTCTTATAATGCTATTTCTCTCGTTCTTACGTTAGCGATAGAGGATGGAAGATCGCCGCGACTCCCACCACTATTCCCTCTCCAAGCGTCCGACGATCGTATTCCGCTAGCTCCCTCCGCCACTCCGTGCTGCTCATGGCTCACCTACACGCAGCAGTGTATGAGTGACGCGTTATCGTGTGCGAGTCACACGGATATTCGGACGGCATTAACGCCGGTGCGTGTACGTAAGACGTACAGTACACCCTCCGTATATGCCTGTTGTCGCTTTCAACTATTTGACAGGCGTGTATGGGCCGCCATACCTGCCTCTGAGGAACACCATACCTGCCTCTGAGGAACACCATACCTGCCTCTGAGGAACACCATACCTGCCTCTGAGTGTACATCGTGTATCAATGTAACTCGTGTGAACAATTTGGCGTTTTAATATTAACAAGTATACAAATTACAATGACAAGAAGTATTTATTAATTTTGAAACGTTTGAAACTGTTAAAAGTTAAAATTGATATGTCTTATATTTGAAAATCAGCGGAAATAGCATAAACATGGCGAACCAATCAGAAGATGATTGCACGTGTCCAGTCTCTGTATAGTGTCTCTAAGATTTTCTAACTTAATGCGCCCTCAATTTTGTCTATTAATATTTCGCTTCGTAGTAGAGAGCGACGATTTTAGTTTTCAGATTCGGTTTCTACGCGTCAAAATATATTATCTTACCAAATTTTAACAAAAATCGATGAGGGCGGAGCTTTCCTTCACAATTACCAAAAATATTTATAAAATATTTATATAATATTAAAAAAAAAATAATTTAAAATAAATATTTATAAATATTTATTATAAATATTGTGTACTGTCTGGGGAGACGCTTCTAATATATTGGGAGTACAAATTAGTTCGGTCCGTTTTTTTGTGGTCAAAAATGCATTTATTTCAGAACAAAATGAATGAACAGATTAATCAAAGTATTGTTCATCGCTGGCTACTACTTTTTTCCACCTCTCAGGCAATTTTCAAATTTCATCTCGAAAAAATGTTTCGTCTTTTGAGGCGATCCAAGTTAGTAGCCAATTTTCGATTTCTGCGAAAGAAGTGAACCGGTGACCTGCTAAATCGTGCTGCATCCGTCGGAACAATCAGTAATCAGAAGGAGCAATGTCCGGCGAATACGGCGGGTGCGGTAAAATATCCCACTTGAGCATTTCCAAATAATTTTTTACGACTTTTGCGACATGAGGCCGAGCGTTATCATGCAGAAGAATAACTTTGTCATGTCTTTGCTCGTATTCCGGCCGTTTTTCTTGTAATGCACGGCTCAAACGAATCAACGAAGCGTAACTCCCAATGATTCTGCAAGCTCTTCTTGCGTTTGACTCGGATCTTCATCGAGTAATGCCTCCAATTCTTTGTCTTCGAATTTTTCTGGCTGTCCAGAGCGAGGCTTGTCTTCAACGCTGAAATCACCATTCTTGAAACGTCGAAACCATTCCCTACATGATTTATCAGTTGGAGCATTGTCACCATAAACTTCTACAAGCATTCGATGCGCTTCAGCTGCACTTTTCTTCCAATTAAAGCAGAAAACTAAAACCTCCCGCAAATGCTGCTTAGTTAACACAAAATTTGACATATTCAACACAGTAAAAAACAGGGGTTTTGTATGAAACTCAAAGCGATATAAACTGAATATTATTGACAGATGTCTAACCTCTCTGAAACCACCGAAATCAGCTGTCACTATGAAATATTCATAACAGCCAGAGCCATTTTTTGAAAACGGACCGAACTAATTTGTACTCCCAATAATAATTAGATGAGGTCCTTGTTGAAGATTTCCAGGTGGGTTGCTTACGAATGGGAGCGTCTCGCTTGATCACGGTATGATTGGACACAACCAACCGATGAAAAAAATTATCTAGTGAATTACTAGGTCGAACCAATCAGTACGATATGTGTCCAATCGTATCGTGGTCAATCGGGTCCCACCCCTTACGAATCCGTAAAAATTTATATATGAAAATCCATGTAGGAATTCATATAGAAAATAAAAATTCTTATAGAAATTCATATGGTTCTCCATATGGATTTTTAAACACCACATACTTTTCCACATGGATTTTTATTTTCCATATGGATTACTATATGGATTTTGGTTTTTCATGTGGATTCCTATATGGATTTCGAATTTCCAAGTGGATGTCTATATGGATTTTGATTTCTTACATGAATTTCTATATGGTTCCCTATAGATTTTAAATTTCCTGTATAGATTCCCATGGATTGCTGTGGGAATCCACTTGGAAATTTTCAACAGGGTGGCATGGTTAACTTCAAGATAATTGAATTAAAAGTTAATACTTACCGATAAAATGTAACTAAGTTAAGTTAAATCCAGTGAGAAAGGTTACGTCGATTTGACGTCTACTAGACGTCTATATGAAACATCTATCTACCATCTACATCTAATCTAGATTAAGATCTATATCGACCTAAAAATGGTCCACATTTAGATGTCTAATAGACCGTCATTTCGACGTTTTATTGATGTCTAATAGACCGTCATTTCGACGTCGATCAATAAGTCATTTCTCACTAGATTGTTTCATAAAAATAACTAATTCCTAATTTTCTTTATGTCTTATTGTTCGCGCCTCAGCGGGCGTATAGAGGCCGGAATCGCTCCGCGTGGAGCGCTGGGAGTTGGACGGTTGTGCTTCAATAATTTGATGCAGTTTTACCAAATTAATGAGTTTATTGCCTGAGGGTGTGGATCTCCTTGACGCAGCTGGAGCTCTTGATCGGCGCGCAAGCCAATCTTTTCGATGGTTCGTCCTGTTTCGCGGATAGGCATCTTCGAACGGAATACTCCAGTTTGAGCGCGTTTCGCAGAACAATTGGATTAACGAGAGCCTGACCTGGGACGGCCGGCAGCCAGAGATTCGCGAGACAAAAAGACGAGAATGCGAACGCGATATAACGAGAGCAACGAGTGAGTCCGTCACCGAGATGACGAACTCTTATCACCTCGGTTTTAGAGCTGGCGAAATTCGATTGGTTCGGCTTCGCGACATTTCGATAGTTTTTTTTGTTTATTCGTCGATATCTGAATCAGTGATTCAGTGATTCGTTGTGAGAATTGCCCATGGCAACCGCTTAGCAAACATAATAGTTCGAAGTGTCGTGAGACTGAATGTTTACCCGGCGTAACGCGATCACCGGTAATCGCACGCAGAAATTAGATTATTAATTGCCTCTCGAAGATTCAATACAGAATCTTCGAGAAGAAGAGACCGGTCATTTGACTTTTAATCGCGAAAGTCAACAATGCTCGATAAAGATGATGAGTCGAGTCCCGAACACTTATAAACTGCTAGAAACCGAAGATTGTCAAACACACGCTAAAAACTTTCGCGAACCCTGCCTCGATAATTTTGAATTCGAAGTGGTCACCATCCATCCTTGTTGATTATAACTGTGATTCCCTCCGTCAGGGAGTGACAGGAATTGTGATCGTTTAGGGTCCGACGTATTAAAGGTTCACAAGCGTGCACAGCAAAGAAAAAGAAACTTTATTCCAATGGCCTCTCAAGGCGTTGGCTGGTAGCCGGTACAGAAAAGACTAACTAACACAGCAAAGGGCGCGAGAGAGGTGCGCGTCGCTACCAACGTACAAAACAAAAAACTGCGTTCTCCTCATGCATGTGTGAAGCGCGATAAGCTCCATCTTTCTTCACCCCGCTCGATTTGAATCGAAGCACGGATTAGGTTTAACATTCCCGCTGCTTGAGTGCTTCACGCATCTATCTATCAAGTTTAACATTAAACATAAAGCTTTAAAACGATCTCTGGGTAGAGCTTTGGTATAAATATCTGCTCGTTGCAGATGGGTCGGTATGTAACATATTTTCAACTCACGCTCCTCCACTTTTTCGCGTAAAAAGTAATATCGGATATCTATATGTTTCGTTCTTTTATGATAAACTGGATTTCTGACTAACTGAATCGCTGACTGGTTGTCTACGTAGAGAACAGTAGCTTCTTTGCATTTACATCCGATATCATTCATAAGCTTACGGAGCCACACAGCCTCCTTTGCCGCCGTTGCGGCCGCCACATATTCGGCCTCGGTTGTGCTTAAAGTTACCGATTTTTGTCTCTGTGATGACCACGTAACCGGACCGCCCGCAAGCATAAAGACATATCCAGTTGTTGAGCGTCGCGTCTCGACATCGCCCGCAAAATCCGCGTCCGAGTACCCTTCCAGTATGAGCCCGTTCCCGCTGCATTTATACGTGATTCCTATCTCTGCAGTTCCAATCAAATATTTGAAGACACGCTTTATTCCGTTCCAATGATTTTGATTATGTTTATTTAAGAAACGGCCAAGTACATTAACCGCGAAAGCAATATCGGGTCTCGATACCACGGTTAGAAACATTAAACAGCCCACCGCTTCTCTGTACGGGACGT